TTCCAAAGTTCTGAAATTTCAAAGTGTATAAATTACCATCGCAGGGTTGTGCTTATATTTTTCTTTGTACATATGATCTGATATCCTCGGAGAAGTATGCACAAATAAATCATAATATGAATGACGAAATGGGACTTTTCCAGATACCCCCATTTTCTTCAGCCATGCAGCCGCGATTGAATTTGGCTCTTGGATACTTATACTCACGATGAAACCAGTACGGTATGTGTAGAGCAGTCTGACCGAGCGGAATTCGGCCCAATTGGACATGGCACGTGTTGCGAGAATGCAAATCATCGTATGCTTCTAGGAATGCTGAGAAGTCAGGTCGTGTCCACAGACGGGTAAGGGAAGGGACAAAGGGATATTTGGCATACGTATAGTTTTTTATTTATTGGAATAATCCGGGACAGCAGGCTGATGAATTACACTATGATAAGACGGTGGCTTGGGTTGATTCGAGGGTGGGGTGATCCATGATGCGGAATCGCTAATACAAACTTGATCCGCAGTGGAAGGTGGTATGTAGGACTGCTGTTCCGTGTACCGTGCAGTGTGTTCCCGATCCACGTGATTTTCACGCAACCGTTGACGCCAACGAGTCCCACAAGATGTGCAGTAGACCAATACAAAAGCTAAGATGACAAAAAATACAACAACAATGGAAATAATCAAAGTTATGTAACATATCATGGCCCATGGTAAGACACTGTCTGTTCGGAATAGTCTGAGCATGGTCTTCTCATTCGTTTTCAGATCGTACCCGTCATCATGATCGTGATCTTTGTGGTTAGCGGTAATACGAACAAACAGTTGCTTTTTTACTGTTGACTTCTGCCGGGAACACAGCGAAACCAGACAGGTTTTTAATCGATGACAGACACTTGTTGTCCTATACGGATTGATTGACATACAAAAATAATCCGCATGCTCGTCTAGACAGTATAACAGTTGAGCGCATTCAGCTTCCAGTGTGACACACGATCCCTCGGATTTGGATAATCCAAGAATTTTATTTCTATCCGCGTTGTGTCGAAACGCAATCAGTCTCAGCGGATCTTGTGAAGGAGCACAATCCGGTGGTATGCCCTCAATCGACCTTTGAAGACATGTGAACCACAGCAAAAAAACAGGTAGAATACACTCGATCCAATTTGGTTTCATCGATGTTACGAAGATGCAGTGGTAGCGCACTGAATAGCACCTTTAAAATAAGTTATAGATTCACCTAACTTGTTGTGCTAGTTTTTATTGTACGCCGAAATTGACCCGAGGAACAGACGAAATTTCTATTGGTTAGTACGGGATCAATGAGAGATTATTGTCCAATCAGATTCCTCCATAGTGTGTATGCATGCAAGTGCATGCAAAAGGTGCGCATGTGTTCGTTTGTTAAGTTGCTTGAAACCTATTGTTTTTCCCGTTGTTGTTGTTGTTTTCGTTGTTGTTATTGTTGTTGTTAACGGAGTTTGAAGGGCTTTAATTAACTTTGAACAGAACTTCCTATTCATAAGCTTTTTATTGAGCTGAAAAGCGTAATTTTTGAATCCACTGCAGTCATTATGTAATATTTTATGATATCTCTTCTTTGAGAATAAATAACAAGCTTAAACATTGAGTTATATAAAGCAAATGTGATCCGTATCGTGAGGTAAATGCTCATTTCACACGGCCTGAACTTCTAGGGAGAAATAATGGAAAAACGTTGCGCATCTCAAATCATTCACTGACGGATTTTGGGCTTAAAATAATCAAGTAATAATACTGTCTCTTTGAATCCGGTTCATCTAACCGCCGCCACTGCATGTATCTCCAAATTTTCTGCAATTTATTGCAATCAGTAATTCCGAGTTCGAACCGTTGTGCAATGTAATACGACGTGAGGATAATTTGATGCCCAAATCTCACTAGCAGCAACTATTGAAAGAAAACATTTTAGCAAACAGTCTTGTTTTCGGTAATTCATCAATTCCATGTGAGTAATGATGGATCTAGATAAATTTCAAAGGTGTCTTCATCATGTATGTAGCAAATGAAAAACTAGAAAGCGCTGGACAGCCGTTTCGATCTGGATGGATCTCATCATCAGTTCAAATCCATCGACCCAACTGGGGATCGAACCCGGGATCTCCATTACTCATAAGAAATAAGTAATCAGGTTTTAAATGTTTCCAACCGAGTCATAACCCCGGAGGCTATTACTGAAACGAGCGAGGTCCGTGGCCTGTAACAAACTCGTCAATATGGGTTGTGCTATATCGTGTAAATAGAAAATGAAAAGCGGTCTGGTCAGCTGCCCGGTGGCCGAGTGGATAGCATGCTTCCGTCCTGTCTGGGAGGTCCCCGGTTAGATCCCCATTTGAGTGGACGAATTCACACCGCTGATGAGACCCAACTAGGTCGAAACAGCTGTCCAGCGCTTCCTAGCCTTCCAGGTCACGCACCATATACACGAATAATTCTCTTTTGAAATTCATCAATACGCTAATATACCACATTTTGTATAGAAAAAAGAAAATAAAAAAACTGATTACACGGAATGTTTTACCTGTCTGTCCAAGTACCAGTGAACCGATGTGATTAATTTTTCTATCCGAGTTTTTCTCTCATGTCATTGCTCGCATGAGGTTTAGTGCCCTTCTATTGATTCAACAAAGCACACGGAAACCTTTGTTAGTTTTAGTATGCCGTCTGGTTGATTTCAACACTACACGTACATTCCGTGTGGCTTATCCTTTTCTGGTAAAATACCCAAAAGGGATATGATGTTCTTTCTATCATGAGATTTTTCCCATATAAATTACGCACCTCAGCTTGGGGTGTGTCCGACGCGTACTCAGGTGTAATTTATACAATGACGTCTATCTGGGTCCTTGACAATTGCACAAATCGAAACAAGAACAAGAATCAGAAAAAACTGACCCGGGTCAGGCGGAGCTCTTTCACTCTCTGCACTCACCAGATTACGCCATAAAATAGGTTTTGTTCTAGCGACAACGTTCGGCCGATCTGACCGGTGGTGTAAAATACTTTCCCATATATATATA